CAAAAAAAGGGGGGGGGGGGGGGGGGAGCTCGGTGAAGGGTGAGGGAGGGGAGCGGGCCTTCGCAAACTGCCCGATTCCGGCATCGGTGCGCCGCTGTCCGAAGAGGAGCAGGTAAATGTACCCCATCCTATCGGCGCACGCGACGAGCCGCAACGGGTCGATGAAGATGAGCAGCACGGCCCAGACGCAGCAAAAGATGTGCCTGCCGTAGAGGGAGCGCCCACCCGCATCGCAGCAGCCGCGCCACACGCGGCCAAGGTAGCCTAGAGACGCAGGCTGCAGTTAACTGATACGCAGCGTGTTACGCCAGCCACTCTCCCCGCCGCGCCCGCGCCCGCCGCGCCCTCCGAGCTCGCCGCCCCCTCGCCGCCCTCGCCGCCTTCGCCGCCTTCGCCGCCATCGCCACCCTCGCCGCCCTCGAGGTCGACGGCCTCCCTGTCCTCGACCACCACTTCCACGTCCTCCTCGTCGACCTCGGCGCTCGCGCCGGCCTTTGGGCGTTTGGCCAGCGTGGCAGGCGACCACGCCTCGCGCTGGGCGAGCGCCGCTGCCGCCTCCGAGCCAGCCGCGGGCGCGGTCCGCACGCTCAGCGAGGACTTCCAGCCGCCGCACGCAAGGATGGAGAGGAGGCCGCCCAGGATGCCGCTCCGCCGACCGCAGGCGTAGGCGGGAGCGGCGGCGGCGGCGGCGGCGGGCGCAGCAGCGGCGGCGGCCGCGCGCGAGGCCGCACTGGCGGCCCGTTGTTGCTCTCGCTTTTTCTCCAGCGCAGCATTCGCCTTTACGGCCGCCGCCGCCTCGACCCGCAGGCCGAGCACGAGCGCGCTCGCGTCGGCCATCTCCCTGAGCGCCTCCTCGAAGGGCTTCACGCTCGCAGGGTCTGGGCCTCCGAGATCGAGCAGCCTGTCGTACAGCTTGGCTTTGACTAGAGCAGCAGACACGTCCTTGACTCCGAGACCTTCCCGCGATGGAAGCTTCCGCACGGCGTTCTTCACAATGCTGCCGAGCTGTCGATCCGACATGAGCTTATGTCTGAGCTAAGAAGAGAATTTCCTTCGCGATGGAGGCGCTTCTGAGCTCCCCGGCCCTGGGTGTGCGGTTACTGACTGCACTCCAAGTGCTCCAAGTGCGATTCGACACTTCAGCTTGGTATAGTATCATCGTATGCTTCTCGAGGGGGTATCAAGGTATGCTCTAGGCCTCTGTGGGGACTTATCTCGGCTGGGTATCAAGGTATCATCGGCGGCCGCGCAGCGAAGCGACAATTCACACCTCGCACCGAGGACCGAGCCCTCCCGGTGCGAGGTATCATTCAAACTCTTTGCGCTTCCGCCGTACCCGCGCGCCACGCCGCTGGGACGGGCTTGTCAAGAAGCGCACGGCCTTCGACGCCAAGGTTGCGGCGGCAAGGGCGAAGGCGCAAGCGGCTGTGGAAGTCGGGCAGCTTGCCAGGCGGCGAAGACGGCCGCGAGCGAGGAGTTTGCGCGCCAGCAGCTCTCGCATCGGCGCAGGCGATGGGGGCGGCCGCGGGGGACACCGAGTCCGCAGCGGAGCCCGCCACGGCGCCTAACCCCGCGCCCCCCGCGGCGCCGGCCCCGGCCGCAGCCGTGCAGGCCGCGGCCCCTCCCGCGGCTGCAGCCGCACCGGCTGCGGCCGCGGGCCCGTCAAATGCGACGACGGCCGCCATTAGCGCCCTCCTCGCCCAGCGCATTGCTTAGTGGTGCGCTGGCCTCCCTCCTGCGCGACGCTCATTCGAGCGCGTTGTCTGTCTTGGCGCGCGCGCAGCGCGCGAAGAGGTGTGAAGAGGGGGGTCGTGTCCGGTGTGAAGGGTAACCCACCAGGGTATCAGCCTATCCTCTAGGGGCCCAATGCGGGTCCTCTCAAGAGGGTATCAGGGTATAGCCCTGGGGTATGATCTGCAATACGATGATACTATACCAAGCTGAAGTGTCGAATCCAGGTCCGACAGGATCTTGTAAGGACGGACGTACGGACACATGTGTAAGAGCGCGCACGAGTGGGTGTGCGAGCAATATCGAAAGACGGTGAGGCCGGGATCGCACGCGGCAGGGGTGGCGGGACGGTTGTGGAGCGAAGTGGCGGTAGCCAGCCTCAAGCATCGATGGGACAATAGGATGAGATTACCAGACGAGAACGGGGGGAAGGACAGGCGGGCGACATTCGACGATGTCGGGGATCACAATGTGACGACCAAAACGATCTTGGGGGCCAGGGTGAGACAACAGATAGGGGTGCCACATGGGGCACACCACAGGCGTATTCTAGAAGGGGAAAAGAAACGGGGAACGAGGGGCCCCGCCACGAGAAGTGCGTTCTGGGGATGCAGAGCGTGCAAAGCGGAGAGGGATGAGAAGCGAGAGCGAGAGCGCGCCTGTGAGTGCTGTGAGTGCGAATGAGACGCGCATATTGTGAACTTTATGCAGCACGCAGGATTCGACCTTTTACGGGGTAAGGTATGGTGGCGTCACGGCCAAAAGGGTGGGGGGGTATGGTCCTGGCCGCCGGAGGCGGCCTGCTCGACGGGTGGGGGGGTATGGTCAAGGGAGGTCAAGGCGTGTGTAGCAAAACACACCGAAGAGCGGCACCGCGTTCGGGTGCGGAGTGATGCAGATCGCGTAGTGGAGCATGTTGGATAGCACGAAGCCGGCGCGGCGCATGGGCCGGCTGGGCAGGAGGAGGAGCCCTTGGTCTTGGTCTTGGGGGAAGTCCTCATTGGCAGGAAGGGAGACGTCAGCGAGGGCAGCGGAGAGAACGGCAGCGGAGTGGGAGAGAGGGTAGCAGAGGCGAGGATTGTGGCAGTGAGGGCGGGTGTGAGCGGCTGTGCGGTCGGGGCTCAATGGTGGAGCTGATGGCAGTGGCGCGGGGCGTCTGCGCGGCATGAGCGCGCACCTTGCTGTGGTCGCGAATGGCCTTCAGAAGGCCGTCGAGGTCAACCTCGATCAGCTTCAGGACGCCGTTGGAAATGGCTTCTTCTACGTGCTCGAGGAGGACAATGCGACGCGTCTGCTGGCCACAGCGCCGCCGCCGTGGGGGCAAACAATCCCATCACTCCCGGCCGGCGGCGGCTTCCAGATGACGCACTGGAGGCATCTCGTGCCGGTGCTCATCCATCGGCTCGCACGCCACTCGGGTCGCACGCGGCAGCTCAGCGCGGCGTCGTGCTGCGTGGTCGCCTCGCCGCCCTTCGGCTCGATTGCGGCTGGCCGCGACTGCAACCGCGCCGACTGGGAGCGGCTCTGCCCGGGCAAGCCCATCGTGGCGATGGACGGCCCCGACGCTGACGGCAAACGCGACTCGCTGTGCGCACCGCTGTGGCGTCGCTGTCGCGAGAATGGGCCGCGCGACGCGATCGTCCGCGTCTCGGGCAGCCCGCCCGGCCTCGTTGACATCGACGGCACACGCAGCCTCTGCCGCAGGCTCGACGTGCCCTACCTGGGCCACGCACGGCTGCCGCTTGCCGCGGCGCGACCGGCGGAGCGCCCGACCCGGATCGCATACGCTGGTGCTGTTTGGGGCCATCTTGACTCGGAGGCGATGGGCTTCAACGCTTGGCGCCGCGCCATCCGTGACGAGTGCAGGCGGCAGCACGACAAGGACTCGAACAGCTGCAAGTGGTCCTGGGTCTCGATGCGAGGCTCGGGTGCGCCCGCGGCGCTCACCCTGTACGCGGCTTCGACCTTTTGCCTCCAGCCTCCCGGCGATACGATCTCGCGCTCGGGCATCGTCGACGCCGTGACGCTCGGCTGCATCCCAGTCTTCTTCCACCCACAGCAACGCGAGCTCTGGACAGATCACTGGCGCGCCGCCGAGGCGAGCGTGCTATTCGACTGGACGCCGGCAGCTTGGGCGGAGGGTGCGCCGCAGCCACTTGTCAAGGACCCGGCGGTATATGCGGCGCGAGCGGCCGCCATGATGGCCGAGCTGATCGCGATGCCCGCAGAGCGCGTGGCTGCGCTGCGTGAGGCCGTGGCCAGAGCGGCGCCCGCGCTAGTCTACGCGGCGAGCGAGGGCGGCGGCCAAGCGGGCGGCACGCGCGGCGCGAGTGCGGACGCGGTCGATCACTTGGTGGCAAGGATGCGCGCGCTTCGACTCGAGCCCTCGACGGAGGAGCAAGCGCGCTATGAGCAGCAGCTTGCGAGGCGAGCCGCCGACCGCGTGGCGCACAAAGCCCGGCGGGCCGAGCACTCTGCCTGGCTGGCGACGCGAAACGACACCCTTGGCAAACGGGGCAAGGAGAGGTCTCCGAAGGCGAAGCGGCTCGAGAGGCGGCCGAAGGGATGACTTGTCACATGCGCGGGCGGCCGGGTACCGTGTTTCTTGTACGGAGAGGTACGAATGAGAGGCAACCCACTCGGTGCGAGGGAGCAGACAGCGGGAGATAGCAGAGCGCAGGGGGACTCCCGCGCGTACAATGAAATCTTTCGGCAAGCCTTCCGATCAGCCGACCACCAATACTTCCGAGCACCAAAACAGCGCGTGTCGCCCTCCGCCTCCGCGCGCGGTGGGGCACGCTATCGGCTATGACGCTTCACCCGCACACGCACTCGCACACCTCGGGACCGGCTCCGCCTTCCGCCTTCCGGGCTCCGCCGCCTCCGCGCAAGATTACGTGCGAAAACCACTTATCACCGCGAGCCCTGGCGCTGCCGTCGCAAATAGCCGCGTCGAGTGGGAGAGCATGGTGCGCTATCCGTCGCCCACCCTAGGGAGTCTGCCTCTTCCTATCTCTCTTCGCAGTCTCTCGCTGATTCTCGCTGCAATCTTCATGCCACCACGCGGTCGTCCCACCCTCGTCGTTCTCTCCCTTGTCACCTCCTCCTCTGTCGCGTTGTTCTCTTCTGCCCCGTCCTGCGACGCCGCCGCCTGCCGGTCCCTTGTTCTCGCGGCTTCTTTCGCCTGTCGGCGCAACTCCGTCCTCCTCGCGGCGTATCCTGGCCCCTCGAGTCTATCGAGCTCCCCTCGCGCAAGGACCACATTTCTGACTCCCACTCCGATCATTTGCCTACAGGTCATGTTGTTGCTCAGGTCCACTCTCTCTTCGAACACTCGTGCCTCTACGGATGATGCCGGCGCTGGGGTCCCCTTCGGATGCATCGTGACATCTGACAACTGGATTTCCACTGGTTCGTCCTCCTCGGAGTCATCTTCCCCGTCCTCCTTCCGCTCGGCTCTTCGCTCGGTACGTTCGGTGTGGCTCACCCTCCATGCCGTGAACAGGCGCTTTATCCACCCTATATTCTTCTCTCGTTCCTCTGCCCGTGCCTTGGTCTTGTCGTTGTTTCGCACCCATGTCTGTATGGCAATCGAGGCTGCCTTCCCCACTACCTGTAGGTCACTCGTCACCTCTCCCGCGAGCTCCCTTCTCTTTCTTTCGGGTATGGAGTCCGTGAGTGCGGGTAGCGTGCAGGCAATCACGGGCGCTATTTTGTCGTACTCCTCTTCGGCGAGCGCTCCAAATCTAGACCCTTTCGCCTTTAAGGAGGCTGCCCTCGCTCGTCTCAGGAATGTGGCGGTGTCTTTTGAGTCCGGCGCCTCCCGTTCAACTCTTGCTGTCGCCCTCGCTGTGTGCTTGTCGAGCTTCCGCATGAAGTGACGCGCCTCTTCCTTATTTCCAGCGCAGCTGCCGCTCAGTATGTGTGCCAACGACGCCTGTGGTGGCTCACTGTCTTCTTGTTTCCAGTCGTCCCAGTCTCCCAGTTCCCCGCGTCTCCTCCTTGCCTCGCGCGCCTCTTTTGTGGCCTCATCCCTAGCCGCCTTGCACGCTCTGCATCCCCAGAACGCACTTCTCGTGGCGGGGCCCCTCATTCCCCGTTTCTTTTCCCCCTCTAGAATACGCCTGTGGTGTGCCCCGTGTGGCACCCCGACCTGTTGTCTCACCCTGGCCCCCAAGATCGTTTTGGTCGTCACATTGTGATCCCCGACGTCGTCAAATGTCGCCCGCCTGTCCTTCCCCCCGTTCTCGTCCGGTAATCTCATCTTATTATCCCATCGATGCTTGAGGCTGGCTACTGCCACTTCGCTCCACAACCGTCCCGTCACCCCTGCCGTGTGCGATCCTGGCCCCACTGTCTTTCGATATTGCTCGCACACCCACTCGTGCGCGCTCTTACACATGTGTCCGTACGTCCGTCGGTCCACTATCTCCCTCTTCTCTGCGTTCTCTGCCGCCTCCCTTCGCACCGTGTACATGCATGGCCGCGTCCGCACCGCGTCCCGCACCACTTTCGAGGCGTCCTCTGAGTCGTTATCCCCGAGGTGCGCTGTCGCCACCGCGTCGGCGTATGCGTTGCAGGCTATTCCCACGTGTGCTGGCACCCACATGAAGACCACCGCCTCTAGCTTTGATCTATAGTAAGCGATCGCCTCCAGGAGCCCGCCTCTCTCCCAGTCCCTCAGGCCTTCTGGCATCCCTTTGCGGTGCGCATTCTCAATCTGCTGCAGCGCGGGTTTGCAGTCGCATAGCACTAAGCACCTCCGCGATTGCGCATCGCTCGCGCTCGCCATTTTGCGTAAGTATGCGAGTATCGCGTACATCTCCGCGTCTATCGGCTCCCACATGTGCGGCAGCTTTCCTCCCCACATTCCCGCCCCAAACGCTGTCCGTATCTCCCCTTCTTCACAGGGTCCGATTCCGTTGGGATCCTTTACCTGTGTGTCTCCCGGGACGCTCTTTCCGAATCGTGTCGGTCCTTCGAACACGCCGTACGCCACCCTAGGGTTCGGCACGTACTTTCCATCCTCCGCCATTTTGTCTTCATGGTCCTTTCCTCCGTCCGTCGCTGCAAAGTGTGTGAACTGGTGTGAGACGTGCAACGCGAGGCATGTCTGCGCTACTTTCACATTCAGGGCTCGTCCCTTCCCCGACCGCAGCGGCTCGCTGTCTTTTCCCATCTGAATTCGCTTTCCTTTGCCGTCCGTCAGCTCCCCCCCCGTCTCGAATTCGTCGTATCGGAGCAAGAAGCGTGTTAGGGGGTCCTCCTGTAGCTCCCCTACTCTGATCGCGCTCGCCCCGTATCCATGCCCCACAAACAGCTCGTAGTCTTCTTTCTTCCAGTTTATGTGTCTCTGGGGCGCCCCCTCTGGGAACAACGTCTCATCCGCCCCGAGGCGACTGCTGGCGACTGCTGATGGATGCCGGCAACTGGGACGCACATTCTTTTCCTCGCGATGTCGCGCCGCTCGCGCCGCCTCTCCGCCTCCGCCGCCGCCGCTCCCTCGCCGAGCGCGCTGCCGCCCGCCCGCCTCCTCGACCTCCCCACGGACCTCCTCTTGCGCGCCCTCTCTCACTGCGACCCCGTCAACATCGCTCGCGTCGCGGCCGTCTCGCTGCTCTTCCACGCCTCCCTCGCGGAGGGGGGCATCCGCTTGTGGGCCCAAGAGCGCGGCTTCGAGCTTCCGGCGCAGCCAGAGGGCGAGAGCTGCGCCGTGCGGTGGCTGTGCCTTTCTGCGCTGCTGCGCGAGGCCAACCCGCCGGCGAGGGCTGCGGCAGGCTCCTCGCACGGCCTCTTCATCGACGGCGAGGGCCGGCTCTCGTCGTGCGGCTCGGCAGCGGAGGGCGAGGGGGAGGAGGAGGAGGTTGTTCCAGGCCTCCTTGGTCACGGCGAGGGCGTGACGCGGCTCAATACGCCGACGCGCCTTCCCTCCCCGCTGGGAGGCGAGCGCGCCGTGAGCGTGTCGGCTGGAGAGAACCACAGCCTCGCCCTCACCAGCAGCGGCGCCGTTTGGAGCTGGGGCCATGGAGGCCACGGCCAGTTGGGCCACGGCGACGAGCTGAACGAGTGGCAGCCAAAGACGGTCGAGGCCTTTGCTGATCAGCGCGTCGTCGCTGTCTCGGCTGGAGAGAGCCACAGCCTCGCCCTCACCGCCGATGGCGCCGTCTGGAGCTGGGGTAGTGGATACTGGAGCCTAGGCCACGGCGACCAGCAGAACCAGCTGCTGCCAAAGAAGGTCGAGGCTTTGGCAGGGCGGCACGTCGTCGCTGTGTCGGCTGCATTCTTCCACAGCCTCGCCATCACCGCCGACGGCGCCGTCTGGAGCTGGGGCCATGGAGGCTGGGGCGTGCTGGGCCACGGCGACAGGCAGAAGCAGCTGCTGCCCAAGAAGATCGAGGCCTTTTCTGGCCATCACGTCGTCGCTGTCTCGGCTGGATTCTACAACAGCCTCGCCCTCGCCGCCGACGGCGCCATCTGGAGCTGGGGCTATGGAGCCTCTGGCCAGCTGGGCCACGGCGACGAGCAGCGCCAGCTGCTGCCGAAGAAGGTCGAGACTTTTGCTGGCCGGCGCGTCATCGCTGTGGCGGCTGGGAGCAACCACAGCCTCGCCCTCACCGCCGACGGCGCCGTTTGGAGCTGGGGCTGGGGATCCTTTGGCCAGCTGGGCCACGGCGATCGGGAGGACCAGCTACTGCCGAAGAAGGTCGAGGCCTTTGCTGGCCAGCGCGTCGTCGCTGTGTCGGCTGGATTTGAGCGCAGCCTCGCCATCACCGCTGACAGCGCCGTCTTTACCTGGGGCAAGGGCCGCCACGGCGGCCTAGGCCACGGAGAGGACCTGTCGGACCAGCTGCTGCCCAAGAAGGTCGAGGCGTGGGGTCCGGGGCAGTGATGAGAAGGCCGATCGGCGATCGACTCGACATCCGATGCGACCTACCGCGGTCCTCCTCGCCAAGCACGACGGCGACCACTATCACAACGCACACTTGCCGAGTCGCAGTTTTTTGGTGCGAGAGGCAAACCTGCGAAAGCCCAAGGCAGGCAGAACCCCAAGAAGAATTTTACAACCAAAAGAATTCAACAAGCGAACTCCCTCTCAACCCGTGGCTCCGCGCTCCTGCCGCTCGCAGGCGCACCGCACCGCCCTCGCCGCCCCCAGACGACGGCCTCGCCTTTCCTGACCCCTCCTCCTTCAACCCACGCTCGCTCTCCACCGCCCAGCCCGTTGTCGCCCGTCCGTCCACCGCCGAGCCCGCCTTCTCATCCCTCGTGCTCTTTGTGCGCGTGGCCTCAGCGCCTACCCTACTCCCTCGTCGCCGCTGGTCGCAGGAGTCATGCTCATCACCAAGAAGAACCGCCTCGCCATCCTCTCCTACCTCTTCAAGGGTGCGCGCCGTCCCCTTGGCAACTCAACCGCCCGCCGCCGCCGCCGCACCCACCAAACCACCGCGGCTTGCGATGAAGATCCAACATACTCGCTGCGTTCTTTCCGTAAGGGAGGGGGGTCGCACCCCCTCCACGTGTCGACCGAGATCTCTGAGCATTGCACAGCACCAGCTGCTGTCCATCTCCCCCTCCTCCGCCCACCCAAGCGCCCACCTCTGCGCTGGCCCCGCCCCTTGCCCGCCGGCCCTCGAGCCCTCCCCCCCCACCCTCCGCCCCCCCTCCCCCCCCTCCCAACCACCGCCGCCCCGACCCTCCGCAGAGGGCGTCATCGTCGCCGAGAAGACGACCGGCCACACCGACCGCAACGCCCTCATGCTCCACCCCGACATCATGGGCGTCTCGACCTCGTTTTGCGAGGACGGCGCGGTCAAGACGTCGCCGCAGCGCGTGCGCAACCTCGAGGCGCGAGATGGGCGGAGATGCGGCGGAGATGCGGGGGAGATGCGGGGCGGATCGCGCGCAGCCGCGTGAGCCGAGCACATACGGGACAGACGCAGCACACCAGCCCCCTCCCTCTAGCTGATCCCGCGCTGTGCGGGTGCGGATGCAGCTCGTCAGACCCTCTCCGCTCTAGACGCGGCGCGTGCTTCTTCTGCAGGTGATCAAGCTGATGCAGTCGCTCACCTCGAAGGAGCTCGTCACCGAGCGCTTCGCCTGGAAGCACTACTACTGGTTCCTCAAGGATGAGGGCATCGAGTACCTGCGCGAGTGAGCGCGCCTCCGCCCCGCAAACTGCCTCCGCCCCCCCCCCCCCCTCTCTCCCCCTCCCGACCCCCCCTCCCCCTAAACCCCCCCTCTCCGTCCCCTTTCCCCAAAACAAGATAACTCCCCATCCCCGAGGACGTCGTTCCCAACACCCTCAAGAAGTCGACCAAGCCCGCGGCGCCGGAGGGCCGGCCGGGAGGCGAGAGACAGCCGAGCGAGCAGAGCCACTCTCCTTTTCCTCACTTTCGAACTGCCCCAGAACCTTTACCGTGCCCTCCCCGAAACCCTCCCCCCGTACCGTCTCCGACCCCCCCCCCGCACCCCACCCCACCACAGGCGACCGCGATGGCCCGCCGCGTGGCGACCGCGAGGGCGGGTACCGCCGCGGACCGCCCGGCGGAGATCGCGAGGGAGGCTACCGCGGCTTTGGCCGCGGCGGCGGCGCGCCGCGCCCGCCGCAGTAAGGCGCCGCAGCGGGTGGAAAGGGGGTTTGGGGTTACGAGCATGACTCTCGCGCGCCCGCCGCCGCGCCGGGGATTCTCTCACTAGCCCGCTGATAGTCTACCGCCCAACGCGGGTGTCCCGCGCCCCGCCCCCGTATTGCGAGGGAGGGGCGCGGCTGTTCGCTCGTTGGGCGGGCGGGGTCCTCGCCGCGGGCGTACAGCGTGGCGGGCGCGTGGCCTTGTCGTCACCCCCCTGCTTCCAAGTTCCATTCCATGGGCATGGCGTACGCCATGCCCATTCACATATCACAATCTTTTCGTATTTCGATCGATAGAACACCCCCCACACGGAATCGCGGTCTGTACGAGACTGTACGGTCGTTCGGTCCGCGTGTACGGCGATCCCGATCGGCGGCGTAGCGACTCTAGCGTCTATCTTCTCTGGTAGGACGGGAACGAGATGATAGTAGGGAGTAGAAGAAAGCAAAGAGGAGCCCTGCGCACGCACGACTCCGCAGGAGAAGCCCCTCCCGCCCGTGCTTGCGCAGCGCAGCCTCCTCCTCCCTACTCGCAAGCCGGGTAGCTGTGTGGTGATTGTAATGGGTTCCACCCTGTGTGGTGATTATAATGGGTTCCACCCTGTGTGGTGATTGTAATGGGTTCCACCCTGTGTGGTGATTGTAATGGGTTCCACCCTGTGTGGTGATTATGATGGGTTCCACCCTGTGTGGTGATTATGATGGGTTCCACCCTGTGTGGTGATTATGATGGGTTCCACCCTGTGTGGTGATTGTAATGGGTTCCACCCTGTGTGGTGATTATGATGGGTTCCACCCTGTGTGGTGATTATGATGGGTTCCACCCTGTGTGGTGATTGTAATGGGTTCCACCCTCTGGAGCACGCCTCATGCGGCCAGTTGTCGCGGAGGCAGCGGCCGCAGTTGGTTGAGCGGGACGCGCGCGTCCTCGTATGGTCGGCCATCGCGCGTCGTGGCAATCGTGAACCGTACGATTGCGGTGTGCTTGGAGCATCGCAACACGGTCGCCGCCCAGCCGGCTCCACCGAATTCTTTGCACGCGTACTGCGGCCAGAGGGCGCTTGCGACGAGGACCGGTCGCCCCGTGGCGTTTTCGGCGGTGATCGGTCGGGCGTCGATGGCACGGAGTACTTGTCGAGCGCGGAGTCGCGGTTGAAACCCTCGAGGACGTGCGCCGCGTCCGTAGGCGAGCCGTGGCCGGGCCGCCCTGGAGAGGGGCACACCGCCGACTTGTTCTCCCCGGTGCGCGCGTTGAGGAGGTACTCCCAGCACTGAGCCCTGGCCTCGACACCTCGACACCAAACCTCGACACCATGCAACTCGACACCAACTCGACACCTCGACACCCCATGCCAACTCGACCAACTCGACACCCCTCGACACCCCTCGACACCCCTCGACACCATCTAGGCTGGTACCATGCTCGACCGTGTCAAGGTGCCAAACTCGACACCTCGACACCCCTCGACACCCCTCGACACCGCTCGACACCCCTCGACACCGCTCGACACCGCTCGACACCGCTCGACACCTCTGATGATCCTAACACAGCAGAGATGTAGACCCATTGGAGTCAGAGTTAGAAATCAGGGTTGCAGCAGCAATCAAACTTGGCTGGCAGTACTTTCATCCCTGAGTTGCAGCCTCTCAAGTTCTAGCTCAAGTTGCAGCTCAGTTGCACCCCTGTTGATGCAGCAAACATGGCAGTACTCAGGTAGCCCTCAGGTGCTGCACAGCACCTTGTACAGTGGCAATGAATCCTCACACCAGTGAGCTTGTGCCATGAGTGCAGACCTGTGGTCCATTGCGCTTTGTGCACTGGCGACGCTCGGCTGCAACGGCGACGCTGCAGCGGCGGCGACGCTGCTGCGATGGGGTACTGGCAGCCCTTAGCTGCTGGACAGCACCTTGTGCAGTGGCAATGTCCACTGACTCATGGCACCAGAATGGGCCATGAGCGCTGTGGTCAGTTGCGCTTTGTGCGCCGGTGGCGCTGCAGGGGCGACGCTGCTGCAGCGGCGACGCTGCTGCGGTGCTGCGCCTGCACAGTACCTTTGTGCACAGTGGCAATGACTCCCGGCACTTGATGTCCTCAAATGTCCACAGAGAGTATACTGGTTGTGCTCAGGTTGTGCTACATCAACAGGGTGCAACTGAGGCTGCAACTAAGGGATGAAACAGCTTTGCAACTGCTGCCCAAGTTTTGTTGATGGGCTGCAACTGCATCCTGCCACCTTGGACACCTCGACACCTTAGACGCAAAACCCCTTGACAACACTCGACACCTGCTCGACACCCTCGACACCCTCGACACCCTCGACACCCTCGACACCCCTCGACACCCCTCGACACGGTCAAGCATGGTACCAGCCTCGACAGGCCTCAACAGGCCTCGACAGGCCTCGACAGGCCTCGACAGGCCTCGACACCTCTATCCCTCGACAGCAGCTCGACAGCAGCTCGACACCCTCGACACCGGGCCTCGACACCTCGACACCAGGGCTCAGTCCCAGCACTTGCTGGCGACAGGCACCTTGTAATCAGCGGCGAGCTTCACGATGTCCCACACTCGCCCGCTGACGAGCAGTGACTTGCCCTCCTTGAGCCACAACGCGGATTTGGCGAGGGCGTGCGCCTTGGGCAGCGGCGCGTTCGCGCCGATGACCACGCTCGAGCCAGGCTCGATCTTGGGGCGCTTCGAGGTCGGGGCCGCCGCATCCCGCTTGTCGAGCGGGTGGTTGGCCCATCCCGAAAGCAGCGGCAGGATGCACGTGTCGCACACGGACTCAGAGGTGGACGCCTCGTCGAGCTTCTCCTCTCGGGTCCGGTGGGCGGAAACTTTCGCGCGCATGCGCAACTCCTCGGCAGGCTGGCAATCGAGGAAGGCCACCGGGCCGAATCCATCCTCGCCGGGGTCGGGTCGAGATCGGCGGCTCGCCAGCGTCGTCTCGAGGATGCGCAGGAAGGCCTCGAACTGCCGGCTGCACTGGTAGAGGTGGTTGCACTTCCGCTCATACGTGTTGTACCCACTCGTGAGCTCGAGGTGCTCGATATAGAACTCGAACCAAGTCTTGATGGTGAAGCCGGCGCCGTCCGGGACGGTCTCCGGGTAGCCGATGCCCACGAAAAGGAGGTTAAGGAAAGCCCCAAAGCGTCGCATCTTGCTCGGGATGATGTAGAGGTCCTTGACGTGGATCCTCGGGAGACGCTGAGCATGGAGAGCGGCCCCCATCCAGTCCAGCACGCCGTTGGCTCCGTTCATGTAATCGACGCCCACGAACTTGCCCGCCAGGAAGGCCTTGCAGAGACTGTCGCTCTGGCCGTCGTGGCCGGTGAACCGGTACTTGTCGAGCGCCTCCTTTGGCTGGCCCGAGCTGTCGGTGACAAGGCACCACGTGAGGTAGTTGGCGAGCTCTACCTTGCAGTGCGCAATCTTGGCAAGAACCGGATTGCGGGAAGCCTCGTGACCCCCCGGGCCCAACAGCATCCGCAGGACGAGGTCGCAGCCCGACTCGAAGGCCGCCGCCAGGATCTGGCGCCGCCCTTCGTCCGACTGTGCGTCCGCGCCCTCGAGGCTGGCGGCCAGAGCCTGGAAGTTGGGCATCATCAGAGCCTTCTCCAAAAGCTTGGGCGGCGGCGGCTGGTCGCCCGAGGACGCCGGCCCGCCTGCCACGCTAGGCGCGGGGCGCCCCGCGTCGTAGAGGAGGTCCTCCGCGACCAGCGCGGTCACCGCATCCTCCGCGGAGGCCCCCGGTTGGACGAGGTGCTGCCGATCATGAACGGCCGTCGCGAGGATGGCCAGCTGGTCCGCCAGCGAGAGCTTAAGCTGAGGCGCGGTCAGAATCTTGGCGGCCAGGCGGCTCACCAAGGTATTCGCAGTCGAGACCGAGGGCGACGGCTGGATGACTAGCTGGTAGAGCGCGCCCAGCGAGGTGGCGAGCATGATCCGCCGCTCCTCGATGCGCCGCCTCTCATCTACCCCGCCGGCCTGCATGCGGAGCAAGTCCGTGAAGTCCTCGAGCCTCGTGTGTGGGTCCGCGGAGGTAGACTGAAAGATGACGGGGAGCGAAGCGCCCTTGAGCAAGCGAGGGATTTGGAGCGCGAGCATCGTAGGGTTGGCGGCCGCCGCCCCCACGCTTTGCACGATAGCTCCTTGGAGAAGGCCGGCCGTGAGTCTCGCGGGGGCTGCCAGGGGCAGGCGGGCCGCCCTTGTAGCTATCGGTCCCAAATGGAAAGAGAGCAGCGAGTACAGCAGCAGAGGCAACTCCCCGCCCGCCTCGAGCGCGCGAAGCGGGAGTTGCGTAAGGAAGAGCAGGTCCTGTGGTCCCGGCACGACCGGCACCACGGCCGCGGCTTGGCCCCCTCGACCGCGGCCCCGGCCTCTCCCCGCGGCCGGCGCTGGGACGGCGGGCGCGTCAAAGTCTTCACCGAGAAAGATGTCCGAGTGCGAGACCACCCAGACCCCTGGGTTGGCCATTGCCAGACCGGCGAGCCGCTGGTGCAGCACGCCGATCTTCTCCATGGAAGTGGCAAAGAGGTTCGCCGCGTCCAGAGCGGTCAGAAGCCGCGACCAGAATGCCCCATTGAAAAGCACATTGAGAACGTGGTTCCCATCGAGGAGGGTGCCTGTCTGCTGGTCCACGCTGAACCGGCACCGCGGCAGGAAGGCGCCCTTGGCGTCACTCTGCCCCAGGGTGTAGTTGGTCGCTGCTCCTGCATTGTCATACACCGTGGTCCAACTCAGACAAGGCGTGTGGTCCTTTACGTGCTGAGCCCCTGGAGCGAGAACGAGCGCTGCATCACTGGTGATCTGAACTTCGTCAACGACGACGACGATGGGCGCTTGCGCAGCTGGCGGGGCCTGCTGCTGCGCCATCTTCACTGCGTCCTCTCCTCTCCTCCCACCTCACAGAAAACTGCGGCCGCTAGCGACAGAGCGTCTCGCTGGCGGACGGCGAGAGGAACACAAAGGGACGTCCGGACGTCCATCCACTGGGATGAGATAACTGGAGATCTAAGGTCGAATCTCCCGATTCCACAGCCGCCCACAGGAGCGCCGCCTCAACACGGGGTCTCGGCTCTATCGAGCCATGCTAGCTCCAGCCGCAGCCCCACCCGGCCGCCCGAGGGTGTTCCCGCAGGCAGAGAAGACCAATCCTGGGGGAAGTAACCCGCCATAACGCACGCATAAAGTCATATCATATGTAAGTTGTATATGGCTATGGCCTATGGGGCAGCTTCGTCCATCGACAAAAACGTGGTCGTGGACAAGAACGCCCCAAAATCTTTTGAAACTTCGTTTGGTGTTGCACTCTCACGACTCACGTTGGGAGAGAGAGAGATTTTTAGCAAATACCAAACAACTCTATAACACAAGAAGACCAAGACTCATGCGGCACCGGCTCTACTAGCGAGGCGAATGACATATTCGACACCCTCGACGACCATCTCGGCTACGGTTCCGACTCCAGCTCCGGCTGGTAGTCGACAAGCTGCCGAGCCCAAATCACTGTGTGTGACACATTTCTTGTTGGCTTCTAAAAATCTCTCTCTCTATAACACTCACACGTAATTTGGGGCCTGGACCCTGTTCACGCTTGGTCGTTGGCGCTCGCTCGGTCGCTGCCCCTGGGACTGGGTGTAAAGCCGTGTACGGTGCGACAGCTCAAGCCGCGCACCTCCAGCGGCATGCGAGCGAGGGCCGAGGGGCGAGGGCGAGCGACTCGACACATGCTGTAGATGGATGTCAATCGACACACGACACCACCTGTAGCGATAGTATGGCATAGACAGGAACCTTAGATGATCGTTTTCCAAACGAGGAAAAAAAAGGAAGGCCTTTGCACGCATTGGCTTTGGTACACGGCGAAAGAAAACCAGCATCCAACGCAAACCTCGCTAAATGGCGCAGCTGGAGTTGGTGGCAGAGTTGGTGGTCGACGAACCCATCTCCACCCCGGGTTCTGCCGAGCCGGCGGCCGCTAACAATACACCCACAGCTCCAGCTCCCGCTGCGAGCCGCAAGAAGCGCGGCCGGCCTCCCGCCGACCCAAACGCGCAAGCGAGCTTCTTTTGCGAGGAGGCGGGCTGCGGCGCCTCGTACGTCACGTACGGCGGTCTGTACCAGCATAAGCGGAAGCATCACCCGTGGCTGATGTCGGACGCCAAGCCGGTGGCGCCCAACTCCGGCAAGCGGCCCCGCGGCCGCCCACGCGAGGAGGACCGAATACCGGACGAGCTCGAGTGGGAGTGCCCGGTCTGTGACAAGGCGTACGCCAGTTACGGCGGCCTGTACCAACACAAGCGAACCCACCACCCAGAGCTCGCCAACAAGCCCGCCCTCTGCCCTCCCCCCGCCGATAAGCCGCCGCAGCTGCTCACCTCCCCGCCGGTCGTTCAAGGGGCCTGGAGCACCGCCGCTGCAGCGCAGTCGCCGCTGGTGACTGTGACTGCTGCTACAACGGAGCCGCTGCCAGAGCCGCAGCCCGCGTCGCAGCTGCCCATACAGGTCGCCACGCAGTCGGAGGCAGCGCAGGCGGCGGAGGCGGCTTGGATGGCGGCGAGGGCGGCTCAGGCAGTCGTGCCAGGCGAAGCGCAGGCTTGCGACTCGCCGGGCGTGGGGACGCCACCCCTCTCCCCCCAGCCAGACCAGGCGGCGCCAGAAGCGCCGCTCGACAGCGCTGAGGCAGCCGCTCGCGCCGTGCTCGGCCACGAGGAGGGCGCGGTGCTTGTGCTGGAAGCGGGGGCATCCGTCTCGGAAGCGGGGCCATCTGTCTCGGAAGCAGCGCTTGCGGAATAGAGACCACGGAGGCAGTGGAGCCCTAGGTGGAGGGCTAGTGGACGGCACACACATGTGCTGTGAATATGTACGTTAAACGATAAAGAAGACGCCGACACAGAGCCGCGTCCGAGAGGGAGCAGGCTGTGCGGCCCTGCGCACACAGATCCCTATCTGCGGACGGCACGTGTGCGTCACGTGTCACCTCACTTTGAACGCCTTGGTCGGCTTTGGTGCCGGAGCGGCGGGTGCGTCGCTGGAATCGAGCCGCACGTCCCAAGTACGCTCGGCGGCGGCCCAACGCCACGCCGGCCGCAGCTGCGAGGCAGGCACTGTGTGGTGCACATTGTACTGCGGCGCGACGACGGCGTGCCTCCCGCCGCCCGCCCTGCCGTCGTAGAGCACCTAGGGGAGGGATGGACGGAGTCGGAGAGCCGCGTCCGAGAGGAAGGGGGGGGGGGGGAGGGGAGGGGAGGGGAAGAGGGGAAGGGGGAGGACGCTCGCCTCCCACCACCCTTCTTTGAAGAGGAGCTCCAGGGGCGCCGACGCGTCCAGCTCGGTGACAAACTGCGGCTTGTGGCGCGGCGGCAGCGGCCGCACGTGTTCGAGCTCGACCCAATCCTCCCAAGTCGAGCCGTCGTCCTCACGGAAGGCGTCGTACCGCACGCGGAGCTTGCCGGCGCCGCGCGCCTCGCGCGTCTCGAGGACGCGCGCCGTGTACCACGAGCCGAAGAAGCCATCCTCGACGCCGGCGATCTCGACCGTCGTGCCGGGCGCAAAGTGGTGCAGCAGCTCCCGCGCGCCGCGCGCCGCGCCCTCCTGCTCCGCCCCCTTTGTGCCCGGCAGCAGCTCCGACGAGCGCCGCTTCGCCTTTGCTTTCGCCTTGCCGGCGGCTGAGGGCTTCTCGGCGATGCTCCAGCTCGGAGCGCCGCGTCGCCCAGCGGGCTCCCACCGCCAGCTCGGCCGCAGCAGCCGCGCCGGCGCACGCAACTCGACCTCGTAGCCACACAGCTCCAGCTCCCACACGCCGACCTCGCCCACGGCCCGCAGCACGGACACGGGCCACCAGCCCCGCCGGTGCCACACCTCGGCGATCGAGCCTGGCTTGAGCCCCGCGGGGAAATCGGCGGGCGGCGGCGGCGGCGGCGGCCGCAGCCGCGCCGCGGTGTGCCACTCCTCCAACAAGCCAGCCTCGCCCTCCCCGTCGGCGAGAAGGCCGGCCACGCGCACGTGCGCCTCGAGCGGGCCCGCGCCGCCGCCGCCTCGCACGCCGAGCACCTCGGCCGAATACCACGACCCCTCGAGGCCCTCGTCGGGCAGCGCTACCTCGGCGCGGCCGCCCACCGACGGCTTCCACGCCTGCTCGCTCCCAGAGTGCGGCAGGGCGGCGGCGGCCGCAGCGACCCTCGAGGCTAGCGCTGCAGGGGGAAGAGCGGATGCTGCTGGCGCCACTCTCTCCATCGGGCGGGGGACCTACGCGGTGAATGCACCAGAGTCGGGGCGTGAACACGGTATCGTCCAGGGAGCATCGCAGGAGTGCACCGGCTATGAATACAGCGGAAAACAGCTGCATACACAGCTGAATACAGCTGAATACAGCTGACGACGTCGTCTCGAGAGCTAGTCGGAATACACTGGGGGCTGTGTTCAACGTCTACAGCGGGGAGCCTCGACAGCAGCGGGAGCGACGACCATCGGAGCGACTGCGGCGGCAGCGAGCTCAAGGAAAGGCGGGGCTGTCGCCACCGGCATAGCGCTGGCACTTGGCGAGTCCGGCGGTGAGGGCGGCAGGGAAGGCGGCGGCGCGTTCTCCGCGCGCATCAGGAGGTCCTCCATCTCGTCCAGCCCGCTCGACTCAGCCGGCGCCACCACCTCGGCCGATGGTGGCTGCTCGCGCGGATGCTCGTCCTCCGAGGGCGCCGGCTGGACCGCGGGAGGAGCAAAGCCCTCTGATGGCGCGGCCTCTCCGCTCCCTCCGCCCGCCGCGCCGCCGCTCTCGCCCGGGCGCTCGAGTCGCAGACGCACGCGCGGGTATCCGCCCGCTGGGATCTGCTCGCGCCGCCGCAGCGCGGAAGTCAGCCACGGCGGCGGCGGCGCCTGCGGTGGTGGCGGCGGCGGCGGCGGCGGCAGTGGCGGCGGCGACGACGCGCGCGCTCGCTTGGCCGCCTTGACGCTGGGCGGCGGCTTGAGGGGGGGAAGTAGCACCTGCGGGCGGGGCGGTGCGCCAGAGTGGGCGACTTGGGCCCTGTCCGCCTGGCCCTGTCCGCCCGCTGCGGCTGCTGCGTCCGCACACCTCGCCGGGAGGCACGTGGAGCTTCAGCCGCACGCGTGGGTACTTTGGCGCCGATGGCTTCGGCGCGGGGCGGGGCACACTCGCGCCGGCCGCCGGGAGAGACGGCCGCTTGATCTCGCGGCCGCTGTGCCGGCTCGGCGCCGCCGCCGCCGCCGGGTCTCCGGCCGCGCCAGAGACCCAGCGAGTGGTCCGTCCGGTGGTGCGCGAGCACGCGTCGCAGACGTACTCGACGATCCGGCTGCCTTGCTTCGCGTTGATGCCGACGCACTTCCCGTGGAACCTACGGTGTGGCCGGCGCGTGGTGAGCCCCCGCGGCTCGCGGGCGTGCGTCCGCTTGCCGCCGTGCGCGCCAGTCGCCGCACGTGTCGCACGAAATGTAGAACCATGTCGGGTTGTACGGCTTGCGGCAAATGCAGTAGAGCTCGCCCTGCTCCGCCTCGCGCTCCAGCTGCTTGACGAGCCGCTCGACGCACCGCCTCACCTCGGCGCACCGCCGCTCCTCCTCGCGCTCCTCGCGCTTGCGCTGCTCCTCGGCGCGCCGCTCGGCCGCGAGGGCGAGCTTCGCCTGCCGCGACTCCTCCTTCTGGGCGGCGACGACCTCCTGCCGCGCGTCCTTCTCCGCCTGCCGCTCGGTCCGCTTGACCAGCGACTCGACGAGCTTGTACACCTGCGTTGTGAATACGCCGACCTCAGGGCGGGACTACGGCATCGTGCAGAGTCTTCAGAGCACCGCGTGAACACGAGGGATGCGAATGCAGTGAATACAGCGGAATACGGCCGAGTACAGCGGAATGCGTGTCCTCTCGGGCGCTAGTGGGAAGAGATCAGTCCGTACTCCGCGTCTGGGCTTGCGCACACCTCGCGCTGCTCGCGCGCCAGCTGCTTGAGCTCCGAGCGGCTCGCCTGCTCGTCGAGGAGCGCGCGGCGGCGCGCCGCCTTCTCCTGCCGCTGCCACTCGAGCGACGCCTCGAGCAGCGGCCGCAGCCGCGGGCGCTCCAGCGCGTCGACCAGCTCGCGCAAGTGGAGGAAGAGCTGCGCTGACGTGCGCGCCAGCGCCGCCTTGGCGCGCCAGAGCTCGCGGCTCGAGTGCGTCGCCCACGCCAGCTCCTCGAGGACGGGCGCGGAGCCCGCCACGACGTCGCCGCACCGCTCCGCGACGGCGCGCTGCAGCGTGCAGCTCGCGCAGAACCAGTCGCCGCTCGGCACCGCCGGCAGCTCGGGGCGCGCGCAGTACGTGTGCGTCGCGCGGTCGCACGCGTCGCACATGAGCAGCTGCGCCTCGTCCTCGGCACCGCCGCACATGTCGCACCGGATCGCCTCGGCCTCGTCTGGGTCGAGCCCCTCCTCGTCGCTGCCGCCGCCCGTGCCACCATTCCCGTCCGCCGCCGCCGCGGCCGGTCCCCTTCCGCGCCCACGCCCGCGCCCGCGCCCGCGCCCGCGCCCGCGCCCGCCCTTGGGCCGATCCCACGACCACGGCCTCAACGCGTCGTCCACCCCCTCCGCCCCCTCCCCCTCCGCCGTCGACGCCGCGTCGGCCTCGTCCGGCGGTGCCGGCGTCACCGCCCGGCTCGCGCCGTCGGTAGCCGCCTCTGACGCGCCGTCGCCGTCGTCGGCCGCGCCGGGCCGCGGCCGCGCCTCCAAGCTGCCGCGCCGCTTGGCGAGGCGCGCCGCGCGATCCGCCTGCTGCTTCGCCAGCGCCTCGCGCTGCTGCTGCTCGCGCAGCGCGACGCGGAGGTCGTTTTTGTGCCGCGTGTCGGTGCCCCCCCCCGACTGGCGCCTCCCCCCGCGGCCGCGGCCGCGCCCCGAGCTGGCCGCGCCTGCGGAGCTCGCGGCGCCGTCGGCCGTCGCCCCACCCGCCTCGGCGTCGGCCGCGCCGCGCCCCCCCCTCGCGCGGCCGCCACGCGGCTTCGGCGTCGCCGCCGCGAGCTCCTCCGCCTCGGAGGAGAAGGGCGGCACCAGCCAGCGGCGGGTGAGCGCGTCGCATACCAGCGCGTCCTCGAGCTCGAGCAACCGCGCCGCGAAGCCGGCGGCGGCCAGCCCCTCTGCCTTGAGCTCCGCCACCCAGCCGGCGCGCCGCTCGCCCCACCCTTCGCCGAGCAGCTCGCGCGGAAGCTGCGCCTGTGATACAGGAGTTCTGTGCTCACTTGAGGAGCGGGCAGCTCTAGATTGCCGCGCCCTCGCCCAATCTCGCCCAATCTCGCCCAATCTCGCCCAATCTCGCCTCGCAGCGCGCCTCGATGTGCAGCAGCGCGTACCGAAACAGCTCCAGCGACGGCACGACGGCGCAGTCCGCGGCGTGCGCCTCGAGGTGGCGCACCACGTCGTACGCAGCGAGCCGCACGCGCCGGCCGGAAAAGGGGCAGGCCGCCGCGCTGCCGAGCGCTGCATCCTCCGACGGCAGCGCCGCGTCGACCGCCGGCGATCCGCTCGCGCCCTCCGCCACCTCTGCCGCCGCCTCCTCCGCCGCGCGGCGCGCTTCGCCCAGCTCGCCGCCGCGCAGCAGCCGGCGGAGCGTGAAGTGGACGCGCCGCTCGCAGACCGGCCCCGCCGCGGCGGACAGCGCGGCGGCCACCGCCTGCAAGTCCTCCCCGCCGTACCGGACTGTGGCCACGCCCGGCACGCCTACACCCATAGGAGGGAAGGGTGTGAGAATCCGCTGGAGCGGCGAAGGCGAGCGCGGCGGCGGCTGGTGCGCAGGGAGGGGAGGAGGCGCGTGTGCCGAGAGGGGAGAGGTGCGAGCGAGGGGGCGCGGGGAGAGCGGGAGAGCGGGAGAGCGGGAGAGAGCGGGAGAGAGCGTGAGAGCGACGCCTGCCCCCGGCCTCCCACCGGAGAGGCTCGGGTCTGCAGCCTCGTCTGTGGCGGACGCGTCTCGGCGCTGGACCCAGAGGGAACCTGCACCGGCGCGCCGCGGCGCGTGAGGTCAAAAGGCGCCGCCATGCGTGTGTGGCGCCGGGCCGCGACGCAGGGCCCGCGACCCCTCTCCCCGCCGTCAGAGCCGCGACCCGTCTCCCGCCCACCCCTCTCCCTGCCGTCCCCGCTCACACTCCGCCGTCCGACTGCCCCCACACCGTACCGCGGGCCGGACACGCACCGTCGAGAAGCCAGTAGACTCGCCCGTGCCGGTCCCTGCCGAGCGGCTCCCAGCGCAGCAGCCGGTGCGGCGGCCAACACTGCAGCCTGCCGAGCAGCATCGCCGGCTCCCACGCCTACCGGGACACGTCCATGACATGTCCGAGACATGTCCTCTCAGGTGCTCGACGACAGGAACAGGCCGAGGTCGGGGTGGGAGGACGACACGAGTACAAGCGAGTTGTCGCGGGAAAAGACGGCGGAGTCCGTGTCCTCTCGCGCGCGAGCTGGAGTGCACAAGGCGCCGTCTTTCGCCTCTAGGCTCCCGAGCCCAATCATGCGCCTCGTACCACTCGGCCCGCCGCTCCAGCGACGCGCGCAGCGACGGGTGCTCGGCCGCGCGCTCAGCGAGTAGCCTCGCGGCGAGGACGCGCCGCTCCGGGGGCAGCGTGTGGTACTCGCCACTCCTCAGCCCTCGCACGGCGAGGGCGAGCTCGGCGGTCGCCTGCCGGCGAATAGAAGGGGCGCGGGGGGCGGTGGGCGCGCGCGCGCAGGCAGCGCAGGCGGCACGACAGCCGCGGACGCGGGGGCGCGGCGCGGTCCTGCTGGTGGGTGTGCATGCGGTCTAGTGACGGTCGAGGGACGGTCGAGGAGAGGTCGAGGAGAGGTCGAGGGAGGGTCCGCGGGGAGGGTGCTGGAGAGGTCCGGGAGAGGTCCGGGAGAGTCGAGGAGAGGTGCCGGAAGGGGCGCCGTGTCGCCTGCCCATCGGCGAGCCGAAGGAGCGCCTGTCCACACAGTTCTCGTGAGGAGGGCGCGAGACGCGAGCGCGCAGGACGGGCGGGAGGGAGGGAGGGAGAGCAGAGAGGGGGGGAGAAGGGGGAGGGGGGGCGAAGGGGGGGGGGAGGGGGGGCGCCTCTGCGAGCGCCTCAGCCCACGTCAGTGCGGAGAGGTTGCGCAGGGCGTGGCAAAAGGCGGGGTGCGAGCGCGCGAGCGCCGCACTCGGCTCAAAGAGGAGGCGCAGCAGCGAGACGTGCAGCCGCATCGCCAGCGCGGTCGTCGCGCCGCCCCCTAGCGCGGCGTCGAGCGCGTCCACGCGCACCTGCGGCCGTCGAGTAGGGTGTGACCGCCTCCCGCCATGTCCACATCTACCCATGCCACTCCACGCCTAACCCTCCCCAAATCTGCGCCGCGGTCTCTCTCCCCCCCGCCACTCCTCACGCCCGCCTCTCCCAGCCCGAGCTGGCGGCTCTCGGCGCTATCTCGGCGCTATCTCGGCTAATCTCGGCTACGTCTCGCCTCTCCCAGCCCAAGCTGGCGGCCAAAGGCGCGCAGCACGCCCGCCACGTAGAGTAGATCGCCAAGCAGCGGGGCGGGCACCTGCGGCATAGCGCCACATAGCGCCGAGATAGCGCCGAGAGATCGCCGAGATCTCGCCGAGATCTCGCCGAGATCTCGCCGAGATCTCGTTGCCGGGCATCTCGTGGCTCACGGACCCTCCTCGCGCCGCCGCCCTGCGGCGGCGGCGGCAGCGCCAGCGGCTTCCAGCGGGACGCGTCGTCCGCCGTGTCCTCGCCGCGCAGCAGGCTCTGCACCTGCAGGCGTGGCGGGGACATGTGCATGTTCATGCACATGTGCATGCCACATGTACATGTACATGTGCATGTCTCCTGTCGGACGCGTCACCTCGGACCGCGGCGCCGGTGCGGAGCAGCGGCGGTGCGCGGCGGGCGAGGGAGACGCGAAGGGTCTCGGATATGGCGCGTGGCAGGCTCCGCACCTCGGCCAGCTCGGCGCTGTCGTACGGCGCCGGCTGGGGAGCATACTCCACCTCGCCGTCCTCGTTGCGGACGATCGGGAGGCCATCCTCGTCCTCGTCCTCCTCCTCCTCCTCCTCCCCCGCTGCCTCTTCGTCCTCATCCTCGTCCTCCTCTTCCTCCTCGTCGCCGTCCTCCTCGCCACCGTCTTCCTCCTCGCCCTCCTCCTCCTCCTCCTCCTCCTCCTCCTCCTCCTCCCCCTCCTCCTGCGTTTGAGGGGCGGGAACGTCAGTGAGGGCGAGCGGGTGGTAGTGGCAGTGCCCGCCAATCCACGGAAATACTATGTAGGTGGGAGATGCCTCCTCTTCGGCATCCTCCTCGCTGCCACCCTCGTGACCCTCCTCCTCTTCCTCGTCGGCAGCGCTCTCCTCCGCTGCTTCAGAATCGCTTTCCGGTCGCCGAGATCCACGCCCTCTCGACGCTGTTGAGCTTGCTGCGCGGCCCGAGTTGGGCGCAGCGCGACTTGAGCTCAGCGAAGAAGAGTCCTGTGGCACGCGAGCGCTTGCACGAGACGCCATCCGGCGGAGCGAGATAGGCACTCACACGGGCGGCGAACTCAACAACGGCGCTGAACAAGTGCCGGCGAGAAAAGAATTTTGCCGCCGGCTGGCGAGGAGAGTGGGACGAAATCCCTGTGTGGTGGCGGCGTGCCGTCCTCCCATCCCTCCCTTGGGGTGCCTGTTTTCTTTCTTTCTTTCTGAGAGTGGGACGCCGGCAGGCGGCGGCGTCGCAGGACGAGGCAGAAGAGAACGACGCGACAGAGGAGGAAATGACAAGGGAGAGAACGACGAGAGTGGGACGACCGCGAGGTGGCATGAAGGTTGCAGCGAGAAGCGGCGAGGGGACTGCGAAGAGAGATAGGAAGAGGCAGACTCCCTAGGGTGGGCGACGGCTAGCGCATCACACACCTCTCCTTAAAATCCCTGTGTGGGGGCGGCGTGCCGTCCTCCCATCCCTCCCTTGGGTTGTCTGTTTTCTTTCTTTTCTTTGAGAGTGGGACGACCGCGAGGTGGCATGAAGGTTGCAGCGAGAATCGGCGAGAGACTGCGAAGAGAGATAGGAAGAGGCGGACGCCCAAGGGTGGGCGACGGCTAGCGCACCACACCCCTCTCCTTAAAATCCCTGTGTGGGGGCGGCGTGCCGTCCTCCCATCCCTCCCTTGGGTTGTCCGTTTTTCTTTCTTTCTTTTTACCCCTGTTCTTAAAATCCCTGTGTGGTGGCGGCGTGCCGTCCTCCCATCCCTCCCTTGGGTTGTCTGTTTTCTTTCTTTCTTTTAGGGCCCCGGTGATAGTACTAGCACGCGCCAGTTCGCACCTGTGTCGAGCCTGTGTGCTGTGAGAGAGAGTTCTTTTGTTTAAATTCTTTTAGGGCCCACGCTGCGAGAATTGGTGAGAAACTGCGAAGAGAGATAGGAAGTGGTAGATAGACGCCCGAGGGTGGGCGACGGCTAGCACCACACTCCTCTCCTTAAAATCCCTGTGTGGTGGCGGCGTGCCGTCCTCCCATCCCTCCCTTGGGTTGTCTGTGTGCTTGGTTGTAAAATTCTTTCTTTCTTTTAGGGCCCATCCCTCCCTTGAGTTGACTGTTTTTTCTTTCTTTTTCAGGGAGGTGGGGGGCGAGCCGAGTACGATACATGTAGAGAGACAGCGGACACGGGCGCCATTCATCGACCACGGAGAGCTGGCCCAGCCGCGAAGAGGTGCGGCGTTCCAACCAACGTCGCCGCCCCCGCCAGGCCGTCGACGCTATCGGACGTAGCCGGTGGAGCCGGAGGGAGGAGACGAAGAAGAGAGGCGGCAGCGGAGAAAGAGACATCAACAACAAGGGAAACGACCACTCAGCGGCTGTCTGTCGTGTGACGCTCGGCAGGCGAGCAAAAGAGCGAATCGGGGAGAGAACCGGAGCCCCGCCCCCGGGAAGGCGGGCATTGCCACAGCCCCGCCGCTGCTCAGCTACAGCCTCGAGCGGCGCTATGCGCAGCGCATAGGTGCGTGCAAAGAGGCGGGGATAGACCCGCGATGGGTGCTGAATAGCATTAAGAGCAACGACGCCAAGTTCTACACGGCCTTGGCTAGGCAGAGCGCCAAGTAGGTAGATGCAACTAGTAGCTACACCGCAGTAGGGGCATGCTTCGAAGGCGCGCGCGCGCGGCGTCTCGGGCCGGAGCGGGTAGTGCTGACCTCAGTGCACGCTCGCGGCGCCTCGAGGCCGCGCGGCGACGTGCATGAGACGGCTTTTGCGGCCGCCGTCGAGGCGCTGTCGCGAGGCGCCGTCTTTGCCGCGCCCGTACTCCACAACGGCGATTCGAATTTAGACGAACCCAAGGTGTGCGAGGGCCGCGAGGCCGAGGTCGGCACGGGACGACCAATCGCGACGGCCACCGAGCGACCACGCAGCCGTAATCACAGAATCTTCCCAACACTCCCTTCGGCGCGAGTGGATCACTTGTACGCTTGCGTGACTTCATATAGATCTATTGATAGCGAATGGGAGGCGCCTCTCCGCTCGCCGAGCGCTGGCTTTATTTTTGGGAAATTTTCCGCTTGAGGGCTCCCGCAAGCGCAACGCAATAGCGTCCCGGCACAAGCAGCGCAGCTGAGCACTGAGCAGCACGCAGCAGAGAAGCTGCATGAATGAGCAGCTGAGTGGCACAATCTCATGTCCGGCGCGCGCGCATCGGTGTCACCGACCCAACGGTGTTCACTCGGTGTGGCTCCCGCGCGGCCAGGCGGTACGGCTTCGCGCTTTGAGCGCGCGCTCCCACCTCCCCGGCTGGCACGAACCGCGAGCTCCCACGGGCATCCACGGCACGTGAACCGTCGGCGCCTTCTTTGTGGTGATGAGCGGAGCGCCGTCGCCGTCGCAGGGCGCTGTATTCGTACACGAAATCCAGCCGGCGGAGCGCGCGTGAAGCCATCTGACCGGCCGGCACGTAATTTCTGGGCGCACGCGGCTCGCATTGCCCACTCGAGCCTGGTAGGTGCGGGCGATGGTCTCTTTGAGCTCGCGTGCCGAGTCGCCAAGCTTGAGCTGGTGAACGACGAGGCCATGCGCCGCGTTGAAGCGGTTGGGCATGGGCCAGATGTAATACTCGACGTTCCAAAGCAAACTCACCGTGTAAAGCTGCACGCCCGTGAACGCCCGCGCTCCAAGCCACCCGATTATAGCGTCGCACGGGTCGGGAGGCTCGCGGTAAGGACCGTGCCGCCGCCCCAAGCTCTCAAGACGTTGCCGGGGAGGCGCCGCCAGCCTGTCCACTCCGTTCGCATCGCCCACGGAGGTGCGGCCCTTGACGTATTCAATCAGGCGCGTGGCTGCTGATCGCGAGTAGAAGTAGAGCCCGCCCTGCGCCATGGCGAACGAATGTTTGCGTTTTTCCGCCTCGCTCCGCCGGAGGATACGCGGGTCGCGCTCCGGCCATGCACTCACCTTCCCCGGCGAGTCGTAGCTAAAACCGATGCAGTTGATCGTCTGGTTTGTATCAAGCCGTTCCCAGTGCTCGAAGAGCCCGCCCCACACGGCGGCGTCCGCAGGGAGAGCGGCCTCTATGGCGGCCAGGAACCGCGAGAGCCGCGGCGGGTTGATCCAGGTATCCGAGTCCATCTGACCGATGAAGTGAGAGCGCGGGAACGCCACCAGTGCGTGCTCGAACCATCGCAAAATCTTGCTCGTGCACTGCAGGTGCGGCCACGGCAGATACGGCGGGCGGGAGAGCACCACGACCCCTTCCATCTCCCGCTCTTCTTCTCCACTCACCTCGTCCTCGAATACGACTAGCCGCAGGGTCAACGTCCGACTGGGGTGTGCCCTGAATAGCTGCAGCATCAGCGTATTGAGCTGAGACGAGACGCTGACAGTGGTAATACCAAACACTGAGCCTGAGGCAGGGCGTGCGGGCGGAGGAGCTGGAGGCGTCGGAGATTGCGTCGCATCGTGGTCGAGACGATCGAGGCTAGTCGCAATTTGAGCCAGGCGGCTTCGAACGTCAGAGGAGTTGGCGAATGTGGCAGCCAAGAGCCCGAGACTGGCCCGTGCGCTAGCCACGGCCTGATGGCGGAGAGCGACGCGATCGACGTCCATAGTCAAACTTTGCCGGCAGTTTGTCGAGGACAATATCACGCCCGCAGGGCATACACCCCCTCTCCCCTTTCTCCCATTAAAAAGTACGTACATGAGAAAGCGGCGCGGCGGCGCGAGAGAGGGAGAAGGAGAGAGCCGTGCAAAGATCAGGCTCAGCCATCGCTCGGACGTTGACCGCACCGCTTACCCTCCGCCTCACTTACGCGACGCGCGGCACGAGCCAGGGTGGCAGGTGCTGGCCTCTTCGTTTCTCGCGTGTGTGTCCCAATGCACGCGTTCCTCCGCGCCCAAAACTCAAAACATAAACCCCGCCCTCGCACGAATGCCCTGCCCGCAACGCGTAAGGTAACACACACACTAAGATTAACGGCAGTTGGCACAGGTGCCTCGGCTCTGCTCTCGTAAGTGGCACGCGCGTTCCCCGGCCCTCGAACTGAACCGCGTGCCGCTGCTCGGCTGCCTCCCGCGGTGACCTCCCTCGCTGCCAGCCCTGCATCCCGCCATTCGGCCCATCCCCTGCTCTCCCTCTTCACCACCCCTTCTCCCCTCGTGTCCACGCGGGGTGCGGCCACGTCCGACAGTAGTAACGTGGTCCGGTCGGCAGAAGGAGCAGACAGCAGCTCTAGGCGCCGCCGCCGCCACCGCCGCCACCGCCGCCGCCGCCGCCGCCACCGCCGCCGCCCGGCGAGACGAAGGTCGCCTTAAGCTTCGAGAGGGGCATCGGCTGGATCCAGATCTACCGGGGCCTTTCATCTCGTTGAGGAAGAGGCCCTCGCCGCCGCAGCAGCACATCAAGCAGCCGCCGGCGCGGCGCACCTCAAGCTGGACGGATGGCTCCCACGCGAGCAGCGACGATGTGTCGATGACGATCGCCTGCGGCGGAGCAGCCCGTCGCGAGTTGGAGGCCTCTCCCCGGGGCGTCCGAGTGGCGGGTGCGAGTGGGTGCGATTGACCGTGCATCTCGCCAGCCGCCAGCTCCTTCTCGACAATCGCGCCGCCGCCGCAGATGACGGCGACGCCGTCGCCCGTCATGACATTATAGAAGAGCCCCTTGGTGATGAGCATGACTCCTGCGACCAGCGGCGACGAGGGAGTAGAGGGTAGGCGCTGAGGCCACGCGCACAAAGAGCACGAGGGGTGAGAAGGCGGGCTCGGCGGTGGACGGACGGGCGACAACTCAACGGGCTGGGCGGTGGAGAGCGAGCGTGGGTTGAAGGAGGAGGGGTCGGGAAAGGCGAGGCCGTCGTCTGGGGGCGGCGAGGGCGGTGCTGTGCTGTGCGCTGCGCCTGCGAGCGGCAGCGGAGGGGGGCCGGGTTTGTTGTCGAGTTTACATGAACACCCACACACTCGCTCCCGCTTTTTTTTTTTTTTCCCCCCCCCCCCCCCCTCTCTCTCTCTCTCTCTCTCTCTCTCTCTCTCTCTTGTGGCCGGTGACTTTCTTTCTTTAGAGAGTGACAAGAAGTCCCTCGACCCTTACCTTCTTTTCTCTCTCTCTCTCACGACTGGGAGAGAGAGATTTGTGTACGACTGGTACAAGTGTGACCCGTTAGAGCGAAGCTCTTCCAGCCATATCTCGTGGTGTGCACGTCGTGTGATATCCGCACGTGGTTTCCTTACCTCCATCGATGTATGTAGGTTTCTTACGAGGCCCCGCCGTGCCGCCGCGCTACGTACGGGCGTCGCTCGCACGTGACCAACTTGCGTGCGTCATCGCCACGGGGACACACCCCCTCTCCCATTAAGCTAAAAGTATAGGGCTCCACGGAAAGTAAACCAACCTTGCCAGCTGTGCTCACGCGTTCGCGAGCGTCTTGAAAGGGGTCCCGCATGCGGAATTGACCCTATCCCAGTGCGAGTGCTCACGTCTTGAAGCTCACCTAAGTCTAACTTTGACGGCGCCTTTTAATGGAGAGCGCTGCACATTTTACTTGTTGGCCCCGCTTGTACTGGACCGGGGCGACCGTAGTGTCTAGAGCTGGCAGAAGACCGCCATGCCGCCCGGCCTCAGACGCTCGCCCGCTCGCGCCCCCCCGACTCTCTACTTTCCTCGTGACGTGATCCCCCCCCCCCCCCCCCCGAGCCGTGTCGGCCGTCGGCGTCGCCCTCGCGCGCCTCGAGTGCTCGTCACCCTCGCCCGCCGCCTTCGACCGCCGCCTCGCAGCCCTCACCGCTAGCTCGCCCGCTCGCGCCCGACTTTATACTCCCTCGTGACCCATGCGCTGATGACTTTAAAAAGGTTCACAAAAGGTCCGGCTCACTCGTGGCGCCCAGGGAAACCGAGCTCTTCGGGCGCTTCGGAGGCCGGAGGCATGCGCATGGGGGCGCACGAGCGGGGCGCATAGAGGGTGTGTGGGGCACGCGTGCGGATCTCCACGCGTCCGTGTGCGTGTGTGACAAGGGAGCTAGCTCGTCGGCTCGCCGGGCTCCGCTGTGTCAGCAGCGCCGCGGCGGCCCCCGGGGCGCTCGGAGGTGTAGGAGGAGAAGCCAGCGAGCAGTTCCGTAGGCCTCGGGCAACGGCATAGAAAGAGTCTCGCCTCAGCACTCCCACCCACCCCGAGGGTGCACGGGCTGAGGCATGCCTCGGTACGCGTCGGTTATGGGTGAGTGGTTGAAGAGGACGTGGAGCTTTACGAACTCGAAGATTTGCCGCTTACTCACCTCATTTCGCCTGGCGCCCCCCGTGTCGGGCGGAACGATGAAGCCGAAGCCGGACACCACGAGCCCGCACCTGTGTGTTCACAGTGAGACGCATGAAAAGAAGATGCTGTTCACGATTTCGGGAGCCTCCCACTAATAGTCCGCACCCACCATCGAGCAGCGCCTGCGTGAAGCGCCCCTCGAAGAAGTGCGGTGGGGCGCCGCACGCCTTGCACTTTGCGCTAACGGCATTCCAGGCTGGGCTGCGCATCACAACACGGCGCCCACCTAGATCTTCACCGCCGTTGGGCTCGCAGCTGGCATGCCTAGTGGACGGCGCCACTGCACCCATGGCGATCGCCACGCGTGTGAAGAAGGCCGGAGCGAGGTGGCGCGGTAGCATAGCCACCTGGTCGTCTGCAAAAACGCAACCCTGAATGTCTGATAGATGGCAGCTACTGGAAGAGATGGCCAGGGTGCCCAGCGATGGTGAGCTGCGGCCTGATGTGAGACACGAACCTTCGAACCACGGTGGATACGACACAGACAGTTTGTCGACCGACACTCGTGGCACTCGAGTGTCGCCCTTCGTACCACCACCACTGAAAAGCAACCGCGCCCTCACGGTGAAAGCGTTCCTGGCAAAGGTTGCCAGAGGTGGGATGTCCGAGTACCACACCGCATCTGGCCGTGTCAACAGCACGTGAGTGGAGAGGTGTCTACTGGCCTCGTACTCCTCCAGCTGCTGAAAGCAGTGCAGCCGCCTCCCCGCCTGAGCTGCATGCCCCGCCGGGAGTCCGGTAGCGACTGCAGGCCAGTGACGTATCTGCAAGGCAGTGGCAAGGCTGGAGTTAGACTCCGGCGGCGGCAGTCTGTCCAAGCAAAGCAAGCTGTGCACAGCGGTACGATCACGCTGCCGAAGCGGGTCGATCACGTGCCTTGCCAGACGGCTGGCGGCCAGTGACAGATGGCCACCGGCTCTCGCGCGGAAGAAGCCGCGCTCCTCGCCGCTGATCAGGAGGGCTAATGCAAGAGATACGGGCATCCTGCGGCTGCGCGTCTTTGCGGCTTAGGTGCTTGCGGCTTCGAGCTTAGGTCCTCGCCGTCGCTTCGACACTTGCGGAGTCTCGAGGTTCTCCAGGGGGATGGATATCCTTTCCGCGTTGGGTAGCGAGGGTTGGTGTGACCCCATCCAGGGAGGCGTGTTTTCTGACGGTCGACCGTCAGTGCACGGAGTTCTCCGACTGCCCCGGCTAGTTTCCGAGGTCGCGCGGGGCTGACCCTGGCGTCCCCCGAGACCTAGCGCGGGTGGGTTGGAGGGGGGGGGGCTCGCTGCAAGGAAGGGCGGTGTAAGCAGCCGATCCCCGTAGTCCGCCCCACTCCTCCCCATCGGGCCGCATGAGCGGCCACGCCTAAAGTGCCGCAGGATGGAAATCACCAGATTTTGAACTTGCCCGAGACGGCCCGGAAAAATGGTCCCGCGTTGTAGCCCCGGTGCCGGCGCATCGCATCTCGGCCGCGAGGGGCCGGTTCCGCCGCCCGGTCGAGCAGCAGGAGCTCTGGGGCAACTCTGTCGACTAACAGCTTGAGGAAAAAATCGGCGAGGAAGCGGCACTGGCGGCACGCCGGGACGAACCCGGACCGGTCACATTGTTCAGAACTGTGGTGGCGAGCCGCCACAGGCCCACAGGAGAGCTGGGAGCCGCGGCACTAGACTGCGCCGCCAGCGAGGCGAGAGCAGCAGCCGACGACAAATCTCCCTCGCACGACACTGGGCACGGGACTGGCGCGCACTGGCAATAACAACTCGTCCCGGCGCGCGATGCAGCCGCCCAGCCCTTTTTGCTTCGGTTCGTCGGCAGCGACGCGCCAGTCCTGGCGCAGCCGCCCCGCCGTGCGGACCACGGCCTTGCAGCCCGACGACGTGACCGCGGCCGAGATGGAGGCCTTCATGCACCTCCTCGAGTCGAGGTTCGACCGGCCGCCCGACGACGGCGACATCGCCCACGACTTCACGCCGTGGCTGGCGGCGCGCCGCGAGTCGTTGCGGGCCGCCGCCGATGCAGGCCGTTCGGCGTTCAGGTTGTTCGCAGGCGCGTAACGGATCCGATAACGTTTTGCAGTGAAGTCGGCCGAACGGGCATATCCGGCCTCTCCCTCTCCTCCGCGCGGCCCTCCCCCCTCCGCGCACAAGACGGCTGCGCGAGGCGGACGCAGAGGCACACGGCGAGGCGCCGCACGCGCCGCATCTCGTCGCGGACGCCAAGTTCGCTTTCGAGGTGGCGCTGCACGAGCAGCAGCCGGCAGGCGCTCTCCATGAGACCTACCGCCGCCTAGCGGCGGCTCTCGCGCACTCGCGGCGCACTCGCGCGGGGCTCGCGCTCCGCCACCTGGCCCTTTGCCCTGCGTGCAGCGACGCCCTCTGCTTCCCGGCGCAGCACCTCCCGGCCGTGGCGAGCTACACGCTGCCGCCCGTGGTGCAGCGCGCCGGCTGCAGCGACTGCGACTACTTGGCGGTGCGGCGCATGCTCGCCGCCCGCACGTCGTCGTACAACGAGTGCACCGCGAAGGACACGGCGGAGTGGCTCCGCGGGCTCGAGCAGGCTGACGCCGTGAAGCACGCGTGGGGCGTCGTTGTCGTCGACGAAGTGAACCGCCCGCCCCACGCGGCGACGCGGCGCGCCATCATGGAGGGCAGGTTCGACCACGACTCCTTTTGCCGCGTTCCTGCGGGCGACGCCCGGCGTGGCCGTGCCCTACTGTGGGGCGCATGGGCCGCCGCGGTCCGCGGCGGACGATGCGCCAATGCCGGACGCGCCGCCGGACGCGCCGATGCCGGGCGCGCCGACGACGGACGCGCCGATGATGGACGCGCCGATCCCGGGCGCGCCGATCCCGGGCGCGCCGATCCCGGGCGCAGAGGCCGAGGCTCAGCATCGCGGCCAGCACAGCATTGAGGGCGGCAGAGGGCCGCAGCACGCTCGCAGGCAGCCGGCTGCTTCGAGCGGGCGCCCCCAGCTTCGAGCGGGCGCCCCCAGCTTCCTCGGTAGAAGGCGGCTGCGGAAGACCGCAGACCGGAGGGGGGGTCCGGTCGGTCGGAGCGCAGACCGAGGGGGGGGGGGGGTTCGGTCGGGTTGGCTCATAAGGGTCACACCGCACACGCTCGCCGCTGTGAATCAATTATACCGCCGAGAGAGCGACCGACCGGAGGTGGGGCGACCGACCGGAGCCTCCGGAGGTGGGGGGGTCCCCACGAAGTGGGGTGGGTGGGTAAATATCGTATAAAACGCCAAAATTCGAGCGCGTACCCCTGCCTCAAGGAGGGATGCGTCCAGGTTGCACGTCCTGGGTGTGGGTGGGCGTCGAGTCCGTGTCGAGTGTTTACTAGCTCCGAGTAGAGGGGGGGCGTTCTGCTGCTAGGGGAAACCCGGAGCGCGGCGCTGACCCTCGAAGACCGTCTTTATTTTACTGTGCCAGGCTAAAGTCTGTACAGGTTGTCAGGGACACGATCCCGGCGTGAACACAACTAACTGACGGATCCGCTCCTGACAGTGGCACGCACCGCGCTGTGGCGCGTGCCACTGTCTTTGTTTGAAGTTAAAAGTCGAATCAGAGCGCCGTCGGCGTTGTCCCGGGATTTTCTCCCACGGACCGCCCGTCCGGCACCGCTCCGGGACGCACGCCGGCGAAGCACCATCAAGCTGCTGTACGGCCCCGGCATCGCCTTCCCAGGCTTAGCTAGACTGAGAGATATTGTGCACATGGTCAGTCTCTACAATATATACACTGACACTGAACCTCCCAGAGCTCGTCCCGGTCCGTCACGGCCATCCTCGGCCTCCGGAGGTCCCCCGGCCGCGGCGCGGTGGGTGCGGCGGCGTCACAAATCCGACCACAGAGCACCGGGACGCGGTCGGGCGATCTGAGGCCCAGTGAGGCGTATGCATTGCCCATCCAGGGCTATCACCTGGACCTATCAACAGGCGCCTGCGGCGCCGTGGTCAGGAGCTGCTGTTCACAGCTGCACAGACTCTGGTACGGCACAGTACGGCTGAGAACTCGGCCCTTGGCTCGGTTGCATCGCTGCTCCAACCTCTCACAGGAGCAGCTGTGAAGCGGGCACGCTCCCTCCGCCACCTCTGTCGCGGGGGGCGGGCAAGGGACTTGCGACTCGAGCAGGAATCCTACTCAAGTATGGCGCGGATTGCATCGGCCAGCGCGAGCGCCCAGAGCGTCCCGCCCTCATCGCACCCCGGGCATTTTCGCGCCTGGCACACCTGGCGTGCGCCGCCCGCGACATTCATCGACACGGCCGGTGCGGTCGCCATCGGGCTCGGCGCGGTCGCCATCGCGGGCGCCTCGCACGCCGCGTCTTCGCGGCCGCTCGCACTGGTGACGCTCGCGGCGTGCTGCGTCACGCTTGCGCCCTTCCTTTTGGTCGCCTGCCTGGCCGTCGGCTGCGGCCTCCTCCTCACTCTTCCCGTGCTCTGCACCTCTCTCTGCGTCCACGTCCTCTGTCTCCACCTGCCCTCCCTCCTCCGGAGCGGCGCCGCCAGCCTCGAGGCGGCGGGGGCGTGGGCGTGGGCGTGGGCGGCGGCGAGGCCCGGCGCCGCTATCGCGCTTGCCGGAGGCGTGCTGCTCACCTCGCCCCTGCTGCTCTTCCTGCTGGCAGTAAGCAGTGGGCTCTGCCTCCTCTTCCTGCCCTGCGCCCTCCCCCTCGCGGCGCTAACCGTGTCGCTGCGGCGGGGTGGGGGGTGGGCGCACAGCGGCGCCGACGCCGGCGACCCTTTCGCCGCAAGCGCGGCAGCCGGGGCGCCCTCTTTCCGCAGCGGCTACAACGCCGACGGCGGCTCGTCCCTCGGCACCGATCACCCCTCGCCGCTCCCCGTGCCTCCGCTGCGGCAGCCCCCGCCCGCGTCGGACACGTCGGGCGAGCCCGCCGAGCCCGACGGAGAGGAGAGGGAGTGGAGGGGGAGGGGGAGGCCGCCGAGGAAGCGCCCGGCGGCGAGGGCGGGTGCCTTTGACGAAATGCGGCACCGACGGGAGAGGTGGGGCTGTCCGGCAGGCATTGGGGAGGGGGCGGGAGCACGAGGGAGCAGGGCAGAGACCGCCTTGTGCTAATATATTCGTTACAAGCACCTTTCTGAGCTGCAAAACCGACCCTAGGATTTTAGTCTCGGGGCTAGAACGGAACTGATCGTGAAAACTCCCGCTGCGGCAATTTGCTTTTTTGGGACGCTTTGCTCTTTGGTGTCACTGGCATGGCGCTTGACCGTTGACGGACCCCAGGGAGTCGGCCGGCGCGAAGCGACGACCGCCGAGCTTTAGGTCGCCGACATCCAGCCGGAGCTGCGAGTCCACACGGAGGCGTCTAGGGCGAATTCACTGGGACAGTGATTTCGCAGAGACTACCTCATTTGCTGCTCCCCCCATGAAGGGGGGTTTGTGTGGGAAGCCAAGGGAGGTTAATGGCTTCCCACATTTGTGATGGGTCGAAATCGGCCCGCCGATTGATGGTCGAATCGGTGTAACGAATCGAGAGAGAGAGACGCGAGGGCCCAAGAGGCCCGTGGGCTCGCCTGCAGAGCGTCTCTCTCTTGCCATTCTGCTTGTCTGTTTTGTGGCCTCTTCTCTCGTCTGTCGGTGTTTTGTTGGGGTTGGAAGGGGTTGGCACGGGGGTGGAAGGCCACCTCCAGAAGCAACAGCAACGTGTTCGAGCGTCAACCATATTCGTCGTCGGGAAGTGGTTCCGATACGTGATTCTGGTAGGCTGGAACACGCTGACGGTAAAGAGGCCGCAACGCATGGGCTTAGCGGATCTCTCAAGGAGATCGCTACAGCACGGAGCAGCGTCAAGGGAGCTGGCAGAGGTTGGAGCGACTGCGATGTGGAGGCAGAGCCAATACTTGCTCAAGTAAGTCTTGACGCTGCGGACGACAGGATTTGCTGGGGCGGCATCACGCCGCCTGGCATGTCTCGGCGCGGCGCCGAGGCACAGAGCCGCTGCGATGCAGCGGCGGCAAGGCACGGCGGCGAAAGCACCATCGCCGGGCAGTCTCGGGGTGGCGTGGAGGGCCACTCGAGCTCTGCCGGCGGGGCGGTCGCCACGCACGGGCACGCGACGCGAGGAGGCGTCGCCGAGGGCGTCGACGAGGCGCTCGACGAGGCGCGGCCGCGGGCCGGGTCCTCTCGGAGCCGCAGAGGCGCCGCTGCAGGCGGCGGCGGCGAGAGCGAGGTCAGCAGGCAGAGCGGCTGTGGCGGTGAGGGCCATGCGGGCTCTGCTGCCGGCTCGCTCGCCTCTCTCGAGGACGCGACGGCCGGGACAGCCGTCGCTGCAGCCGGCGGCACCGCGCCGCCTGACGAGCCGCGTCCGTGGACAGCGGCGAGCACCCGCTGCTGGGCGAGAGCAGCGGCGCAAGTTGGCGTCGATGGCGCCGTCGCCGCAAAGCGTGATCGAGATCGCTTTGGCGGAGGCGCGAGCGACGCGGTGCACGACGAGGGGGCGGGCCTCGTCTCGGTGGGCGGCGGCGGGCCGCCTGGCATGTCTCGGCTCGGCGCCGAGGCACAGAGCCGCTGCGAGGCAGCGGCGGCAACGCGCGGCGGCGGAGGCACCATCGCCGGGCAGTCTCGGGGTGGCGTGGAGGGCCACTCGAGCTCTGCCGGCGGTGCGGTCGCCACGCACGGGCACGCGACGCGAGGAGGCGTCGCCGAGGGCGTCGACGAGGCGCTCGACGAGGCGCGGCCGCGGGCCGGGTCCTCTCGGAGCCGCGGAGGCGCCGCTGCAGGCGGCGGCGGCGAGAGCGAAGTCAGCAGGCAGAGCGGCTGTGGCGGTGAGGGCCATGCGGGCTCTGCTGCCGGCTCGCTCGCCTCTCTCGAGGACGCGACGGCCGGGACAGCCGTCGCTGCAGCCGGCGGCACCGCGCCGCCTGACGAGCCGCGTCCGTGGACAGCGGCGAGCACCCGCTGCTGGGCGAGAGCAGCGGCGCAAGTTGGCGTCGATGGCGCCGTCGCCGCAAAGCGTGATCGAGATCGCTTTGGCGGAGGCGCGAGCGACGCGGTGCACGACGAGGGGGCGGGCCTCGTCTCGGTGGGCGGCGGCGGGCCGCCTGGCATGTCTCGGCTCGGCGCCGAGGCACAGAGCCGCTGCGAGGCAGCGGCGGCAACGCGCGGCGACGAAAGCACCATCGCCGGGCAGTCTCGGGGTGGCGTGGAGGGCCACTCGAGCTCTGCCGGCGGTGCGGCCGCCACGCACGGGCACGCGACGCGAGGAGGCGTCGCCGAGGGCGTCGACGAGGCGCTCGACGAGGCGCAGCCGCGGGCCGGGTCCTCTCGGAGCCGCGGAGGCGCCGCTGCAGGCGGCGGCGGCGAGAGCGAGGTCAGCAGGCAGAGCGGCTGTGGCGGTGAGGGCCATGCGGGCTCTGCTGCCGGCTCGCTCGCCTCTCTCGAGGACGCGACGGCCGGGACAGCCGTCGCTGCAGCCAGCGGCACCGCGCCGCCTGACAAGCCGCGTCCGTGGACAGCGGCGAGCACCCGCTGCTGGGCGAGGGCAGCGGCTCAAGTCGGCGTCGATGGCGCCGTCGCCGCAAGGCGTGATCGAGATCGCTTTGGCGGAGGCGCGAGCGACGCGGTGCACGACGAGGGGGCGGGCCTCGTCTCGGTGGGCGGCGGCGGGCCGCCTGGCATGTCTCGGCTCGGCGCCGAGGCACAGAGCCGCTGCGAGGTAGCGGCGGCAACGCGCGGCGGCGGAGGCACCATCGCCGGGCAGTCTCGGGGTGGCGTGGAGGGCCACTCGAGCTCTGCCGGCGGTGCGGCCGCCACGCATGGGCACGCGACGCGAGGAGGCGTCGCCGAGGGCGTCGACGAGGCGCTCGACGAGGCGCGGCCGCGGGCCGGGTCCTCTCGGAGCCGCGGAGGCGCCGCTGCAGGCGGCGGCGGCGAGAGCGAGGTCAGCAGGCAG